TAAACTATGAGTGCTTTATGTTCCCTAGGTGTTTACTAAGTGCTCCGAGGAGAGCTGAGGTTCAGTAAACACAGCATCACAGGCTCACTGTGGCCCTTCTGTACAAGAAAACACCAGAAAGGACACTGGCTAGGACCACAGCTGGCCCACAGGATCCTCCTTGATACACCAAACAGTGTTACCAGAGCTTCAGTTAGCTGGGCAAGAAAACCACTGACCCTCCTTAGACTAAGTCCAAATTTGATAAGTTCTCTATTTTAATAATTATGAAATAGCATCTCATTCCTAAAGTCACAGGGGAATTCAGACATTAGGAGGGAAGTTCAAAAATGGAATGAAAAAGTAGTGGAATTTTTCTAGTCATTTGTTGAAGGCCCCGTAAATAGCTAGCAACACAAACTAACAAACCTGTGTTTACTGAGTAGCATGAAGCTTTGAGCTCTGTTACGGGCGGACCTGGGTTTCTTATAGTTGTGATCTTGGTGCTTTATCAGTTACATTTTTACTTGCTAAGTTGTTACAACTAACATTCCCCAACTTCAATACCCTGCTCTGTAAAACAGAGGCAATAAAAGAAGACTTCATTGAGTTGTTGCAATTATTACCTAAATCCATGATAAAAGATGGCTTATATCTTTACAAAAATATGAGTATAAACTAATATTCTATGGAATGCCTGGCATACACAAAACCTTTGATTAATGTTAACTCATCATTGCCATCACACAAGCATCCCCGGATATTTGCCAGTTCTGGCCCTATGCATCCCACGCTCAAAAAGCGTCTTACTATGTCTGATTTCACTCCTTCACAGTCTGTCTCCGAGGCACAAAAGTTCACAAGAAATGCTACCTGGCCTCTGAAGTCTCGAAGCATTTCCATGAAGCCAATGAAGACTGCATCTCCAAGGGAGGCACCCTGGTTATCCCCAGGAACTCGGATGAGACCAACGCCCTCCGGGACTATGGGAAGCAAAGCCTGCCCGGTGTCAATGACTTCTGGGTGGGCATCAATGACATGGTCACCGAAGGCAAGTTTGTCGATGTCCATGGAGCTGCCATCTCCTTCCTGAACTGGGACCGGGCTCAGCCGAGCGGTGGCAAACGGGAAAACTGTGTCCTGTTCTCCCAGTCGGCTCAGGGCAAGTGGAGTGACGAGGTCTGCCGGAGCAGCAAGAGATACATCTGCGAGTTTACCATCCCTTAAAGGGCCCTTCTCAAGATTGGCCATGATGTGTAGACTGGAGGTCCCCAAGAAAAGCTAGAGGCTCAGTTCATAGGAGTGTAACAGAGTCTGTCCATTTTCCCATGCTAGGCAGACAGCGGGTGGGTGGAAGAGAAACACTGAGCCATGAGCATGTGGTTAAAACACCTTCTGCACAATGAGCTATCCAACTCCTCTCTCTTTCCTAGGGCCTCTTACGTGTGTAGACTCAGCCTCTCTTGCAAATGCAACAGCCTTGCAGCTCTTTGGCTTGAGAAGGCCTCTTAGACTACCGGAAGAAACATTCCTCTTGCAAGTTTAGTGTGCATTTGATGCAAGGGGATTTCTAACGTTGGAGATCCTTTGGTGCTACATGATCCAATCACTTTCAGTCCTGATGCTCAAACTGTTCAGTCTTGATCATCATCCCTCATGGGTCCATTTATCTTTCATGTCTTTGCTCTGCTCACGCCCCTTGGATTTGATGAGGATCCTGGTGAGGCTGGTATCTAGCTTTATCCAGCAGAGCGTGAGTGTCTCAGAGAGGGTCTTGATTTGACTCCTTCTCCTTCAAGCTCGCCCTCAACCCTCTTTCTTTAAAAGTCTCCTCCAGGGATTCAGAAATGCTGAGGGAACTGATGAGGCCCGTGGTTGGTCATTTTTGACTTCCTGTATCACATCATCGTTTCCAATTTGAGTGGGTGACAAGGAAACACAGAAGCAGTCACTTGTGTGGGAAAAACAAAGAGAAAAATGTGTACTTGGTTCTTGGTTTAGCACCTCTTATGAAATTGAGGAAGGATATGACACCAGGGGGCTTTCAGAGTGTTTGTGGAAGAATTCTATTATCTTTTAATTCCATTTTTTTTCATAAACTCTTTGAAACACACTCATATATGTTAGCTTCCTTTTCCATATATTTACATATGCATATTTCTTAGCCTTCATTAGAGATTTAAGTCTATTAGAGGCAGCCAATCTTTGGAGGTTGAAAATTGGATTGAAATAATATTATTCTGAAATCATATGTCTATGTAATTCCTTATTCTGTCAAACGTTATTCTTTTAAATTATTTAACTAGACTGTGCAAAATAATTTCATTGCTTTACTGTGGAATTACAAAGTTGAGGCTTGGGGGAATGGATTTTTTTTTTTTTTTTGCCAATAGAGAAGCAAAGCAATCCTAACTCTGTTTTGCTCTTCAAATAAATGCTTTTTCTGCTTTCAATGTTAAATGTGTCTTGTGAACAATTTCCTGCTCTGCAAACTTTAAGTAGGTGTGCTTAGAATTCAGTTTTAGTTCTTTTCACTGCACAGAAATAAAATCTCAATTCTGATCAGTGTGGATGAATTTGGATTTGAGTGCCATTTTTCGGATTACGCTGATTGATAGCAAATGGCACAATCAGAAACAAAGGATCATGGATCTGATCAAACTAGTGATCCAGATATTGGGAATAGTTTTACCTGAGAATCAATAAATAAAGTGGCAGGCCATCTAAAGCTTAGATTGTTCTTTTTGCTCACAGAAGTTTGTCCACATTCCAGCTGCAGGTTTTATCTTTCAAAAAAAGATGGGTTAATTTCTAATTTCTAAAGAATGACGGCAAAGGTTTGGAAACTCATCATGCATTTTAACAGAATTACAAGATTGAAACAAAGGAGAGTAAAGTATAAGAAACCCCGGCAACCCCCCACAGTGGGGTGAACCAAGAAGGGAACATAAAAGATCAGCCAAACCAAAAGCCCCTGAGGAGCCCCAAAATAGACGTCAGGCTAGAAGGGGCAGTTCTCAGGACCCCACAGGACCAGTGGGGAGATAGTCATCAAGATCAGTGGACAGACCTGGAATTACCTATGCTTTTTCAGGTGTTTTGCTAGTTATTATTTTTATATTTTTTTCTTTTTCTTTCTCTTTTTATTCAATTTTGTGGTTTTCTTTTTATATTGTCCACATTATTGTTGGTTTGCCTGCCTATATAAAATGGGAAGCAAGCTGGAGGAGAAAGCAATGGGAGCAAAGGGGGAAGAGGAAGTGGGGGAAGGGAGCGGTGAACAAACAACACCATACACTGGGGAACAACTAGGGAATTAAAATCAACAACAAGGAGGACATAGAGATCCTGGGGGTGTTGGAGCAACAGCAATCTAGCTGAGAGGAATTACTGAGGCAGAAGAAGGGCAAACATGATGGTGGGGGCAGGAGGAAGGTAAAAGATAACAGAGGAAAGATGTAGGAAGCAAAGCTATGGATAGAGGTATAAACATAAGCATGCACTTATGTAACTATATTAATTCATAAAAACAGAGGTATTGGCATATGTACATATATTTCTATGGCAATACATTAAGGAAGTAAATGGACTTTGGGCCTCTGCTCAAGCCCTCCCTCAAGCAAGTACACTTTGTTCTAACAACCTGGCATTCTGTGATGCTCACCCTCCCAGCATGATCACTGAAGACAAAATGGGTGCACAAGCAAATGTGGTGAAGAAAGCTGATGGTGCCCGGCAATCAAAAGATATAGCATCTGGGGTCTTAAAGACTTGAAGTTAAAACAAGCAGCCATTTAGCAGAGAAGCAACAAGACCACACGGAAGAAGCATACCAGCCCGTGCGCTCATGAGGTGTTGACAGGATCAGGTAACAGGCACCAGAAGACCCCAAACAAACAAAGAAACAAAAAACCCATATTGTTGAGAACAAGGGGGCAGGTGTCAGAGCAGAGACCCCAAACCTATCTGTAGACAATGGGACATCCCTTACAGAAGGGTCACAAGGAAGGGATGAGTTAACTAGGGGGCAGTATAGTCCCGATGAAACACACAATATTCCTCTGGGTCCTGGAGGCTTCCTCACCCCCACTGTCATGACCCATATCCTGCCTTTCACTGCGGGCTAGGCTGGAGCATGTACACAGGTACAGATAAGAGCTCAGGACACACGGAATCCAGGTCAGATAAACCCCTCAGGAACAGAAACGGGAGTAGTGATACCAGGACGGTAGGGGGAAGGTGGGGAGAGCAGGGGGGAAGAAACCACGGGGGAAGGGAGATAGGGGTCAGTGTAAGATATGAAAATAATAATTTATAATTTATCAAAGGGTCACAAGTTGATTATGTGGGAAAAGCAAAGAGAAAAATGTGTACTTGGTTCTTGGTTTAGCACCTCTTGTGAAATTGAGGAAGAATATGACACCAGGGAGCTTTCAAAGTGTTTGTGGAAGAAGTCAATTGTGGAAGGGTGGGTTAAAAAGAGGAGCTGATACCAAGGACTCAAATAGAAAGTGAATGCTTAGTAAACAATGATGGCAACATCTGTACAAGTATGCTTGATACAATTGATGTATGGCTGTTATAAGAGCTGTAAAAGCCCCCAATAAAATAATCTCACATCAAAAAAGAAA